AAAAAAAAAAAAATCAAAGCTTAAAGTTTCAGCCAAACAATCACCCTCCCTCTCAAAAATAGAGTGACCTAACAGATTTCACACATACCTGACGTCAAATGTCCAGAGAGGTAGCTCCAGGTAGAGGCGAGTGGATGCAGGTGTGATCCTCACTTGAAGTGCACGGAGGGGCAGAGACTGGAGAGAAAGATCACACAGCACTAGGGCCGTAACACATTATGAAAACGAAACAAATGACAGTATATGAATACCTCTGCATAAGAATCAGGAAAGTAACAATTTAAATGTAGTTTCCTGGAGGAGGCTTTTTAATGGGTGATACAGAAATGTTTAAACTTTCTTTATCATTGCAGTTTAACATGTATACTCAGCTCCCCTAGTCCATACATGAGCTGAATCTCTCCATCTCGTGTAAGTGGCAGCTGATCAATAATGCCAGTAGAGCAGCAGACTTGACTGATTAAGCTTTGTTAATCAGCACTTAATCAGATCTATACGAGCTGTTGAAAAGACACATGCAGCCACATAGGAATTATGTTGTTTGGAAGCAGCAGACGCAGGAAATCCTTCAACACAGCAGATACTTAGTGAACTCTGGGCAGGGAGGCTTGATAGAGAGAATAAAATTACCCAGTCTGGCCCCATCAATCCTGCCATTCAAAAAACATCAACTTCTCTCATAAGTCAATAATTATTTTCCTTGTCTTTATATTTCCAAGTCATTATGGTCTCATTTGCTAAATTTCACCTCCTTCTATCAGTGATCTGCTCCATCTGAACAAAATATTATAGTTTAGATGTTAGGGCTGAAAGAGATCGGTTTGGAGGGCATGTCTTTGTGATGTCACCAGTCGTCAGGGATGATTGGTAGCCCAGAGAGTGATATTCCTGGAGAACTGGAGCTGTGTAAACTTTGTGTTAATTTAATTTTACTGCCACCTTTTGTATAAGTTTGTAACATCAAGTCATTTACTCTTCACCCAAAAGAAGAGTAAATGACAGTCTGAATAACTTGTATTGATCAGAGGGGTTTTGATTTGTAAGAAAGCTCTTCTCACTTGAATTTGAAGTGAAATTACTAGCAGGACACATGGTTCTGAAAGAGCCGCAGTGGGATTACATGGTATTTAGAGCTGGACTTGACCGACAGGATTATTAGAGGTTGTGAGGACAATGTGTTTTTTAACCATTAATCAAAGCTTTACTTCACTTGAGCCCCTCTTGAGCTCTTATTCCTGCAGTGCTGCAGTATCTCTTGCCTGCAGCGTAAATATACAACATACACTTCGGAAGTTGTGCAAGATAACATTGACAACTGGACTTGGTCTTGTTTCTTGAAGATGTTTTAACTCTCGTCCAAAAGGCTTATTCAGTTTAAACTGATCTGAGGGTTGAGTCCTTATGTTTAACATGTTGTTGACTCTGGGGTCGCCTGAATCAAGGTTGGACTGTTTAACATAATGACTCAACACAGGTACAGAGGTGAAACATCTTCAAGCAGCATAAGCAAGTCCAGTTCCTTTTGTGCACAACTGCTATAGATACCAGATACAATACACACAGGCGGATTCAGTTGGTTAACTTTATTTGTAAGTAAAGACAGAACAAGAATAACTGTTGCTTTCATTTGATAGTTTCAGTTTCCCTTTTTTTGTGCTCTCTGCTCCTTGAACAACAACTTTTACCACATAAAGGTAAAACTACATCAGTAAATTAAATTCAAATCAAGATTTCAAACTATGATTATTAAGAAATAAAAAAATTTGACAGAAATTCAACAGACATTTTCGTAAAAGTTAGAGTGAATAAACTGTTTGGTTGAGTTAATAAAAAACACAAAAATGAAAGCAATAGAAAGAAATTTCTCATACGCTACATGACAGTTTACGTTTAGATGAGCTCAAGAAACATCCCCTGCTCTGACAAATAACTTTCCGTCTAATTTATTCTTTATTTTTTTAATCTCCAGACACTAAATAGTAGTACATTGTCATAAGCACAGTTATTGGAATCGCTGCTGGCTAAGACATAGAGAAACACTGCAATACAGTTAACATTATTGCATGAGTTGATACCAACATCTTACATGTGCAAATTTACACAGTGGATGAGAGGGAGATGAGGAGGAAAACTAAATGAAAAGGCAGGAAAAGCAGATAAGTGAGATGAGCTAAAAAAAAAAAAAGAGAGCAGGAAGGACCAGTACATTAAAGCTCTCCCAAACACTCCCACTACTTTCAAAAGACTCACACCGAATGTTGCAGCCAGGCAGGCGAGGCATGGGAGAGCTAGTGTTCTAATTAAGTATGGCGTCGCTGCTCGTTATCGATGCATAGTTCAAAATGGGTCACATACTCAGAGGTAATGATGCCAAAAAATCAGGAAGTGATCCAGTACAAACCGATTCAAGTTCAATTGTGTGTCTCGATCAATGTGCCCTGTCCAAGTCACACAGACCGTTAGGAAAAATAAGCTGTTGTCAGTTCTGGGTTGTCTACTTTCTCTGGTCACAGAACATTCAGTTTGGCTGGCAGATAGTTTAAACGGGACGCTAGTGGAGTCTGATCTTCTGAGTTTAATTTTAGTATTTAACAATCTCGTCTGACCACAGGATAGGGCTGCTGCTGCATTGCTGTTAAATACTGTTACTATGGAGAAGCAGCCACATCATTGTGCAGTGTATTTAGTTTGATCCAGGCAGCACTCAAGGGCGAGGAGTGTCGGTGTGAATGTTGTGCATCAATGCGTGTGTCTGAATATTTCAGCTATGATGGTGCAAAATTACAGGGACTTGTCTTAAAATTTGCTTCAACACAGACTCATTTATGCAAACAGGCATGAGAACTATAAATCCGAGAGCTGCTACTGGGAGTCTCGAGAGTCTCTTATTAGTCCGGCTAATTTCACATCATTTGACAGAGAATTAATTCATAAATTAATCAGCAGGGCCTCAGAAAATAACACCACATGCCTCCATTCCACCACCATGTAATCCCATTTACACCTTGCATTAAAATCCCCACACAGACAGAAGACCATTCCCCATGATCTCTCTGCCTGTGCTGAGGAGGAGAGAGAGTGAAGCTGCTCCTCTCACAACTTTTCCAACATCGCACGATTTAAAAGGCCTCAGAAGCCACTTGAAGACTCTGATTGAGCCCCACTGGTTTAGTTGGGCCACTTTACCGCTGCCTTTGGATTCAGAAAGACACATTTAAACCAAGTTACTTTGTAAAAATCACGTCTGTGATCCAGTGTTGGTGTTTCCACTGTGGCCTACAGCTTCATTTAAACTTGCCTCTGTTTCGAGATTTCAAAGACAGACGCAAGTGGGGAAACATTTTAAACATAGTGTGCCTATGTTTAAAATATCATTTCATAGTAATACAAACAGGATCCATTTTTCCCTGTGATACAGTGTCTAACATTCTGGCATGTTTGTCTGTATCCATGTCGATGGGAAGTAGTGCCATATGCTTTGCTGTGCTTTTATTGTGAAAATATTCATCACATATTTATCATTTAAAGCAGGTTGGACAAAAATAATGTGATTTATTTTCTTCACTCCCCATGTGACCTTTTGAAGTTTGTGTCCACACAAAGGTGAATATGAGTCTAAAGGTGATCACACATTCCCAGAATGCAGAGACTTAAGTCAGAGATTGATATGATTGATGTCTTGTTCCCATATGAAGAAATTATTTGGTAAAACATCCTCAGCCTGAATCCTACTGATTACGAAGAAAACATTAAGTTGTCATTAATATAGTTTCACTTTGAATATATTAGGTAACATCTACAGCATAGAAATGGAAACTAGATGTTACACAAGATTAGATCATTGTAGTACATCACATTTAAGACTGTAAAGTGAGTGTTTATTCTAAAATATGGGTTTTCAACAACTTGACAGGACATTAGATGTGCTGAGTGATATTGTGTTTGGAACTTATCACCACATCTCAGGAATTAACTTGGACATTATCAGGAGTTCCCGTCAAATTCATTATTATATAGCATCTTCATATTAGCTCACATCAGGGCAAGTGCAGAGCTGTGCTTCTTTTGTGTGTCCAGTGTAACCGAACACAATATATACAAACTGGAGGTTACAATGTCCTGCAGTACCACAGAAGAGATCTGTCTTTAAAGGGTTCCTGTCCCGCTCCACCCCTAACAGTCTCAACCTCTCACAATTTCCCACATCAGATTGTCTAACCTCCCCCCTCCCTCCCTCTGCCCTCTCTACTCCTCAATCTCCAGTATCAGGTCATCTCCCTCCAGGGAGGCGTCAGCCGTGACATGGACTACCTTAATGGTGCCGGCCATCGGGGAGTTGACCACAGTCTCCATCTTCATCGCCGAGAGGACACACAGCGGCTGACCCTTCTCCACCTATAATGGTGATGGAGATAAGTTCACAGAGCATTAAAATCACCAGTTCAATGTACAGCTCACTAAATAGGAACTGGAGTTGAAGGTTAAGTAAAGTACACTCCAAGACTCCAACTCTATAGTTCTTTCACTTTGACTGATCTACTCACTCTCATAGTAAGCTACAGAGTGTTTGGATTTCATGTCAATGTCTTTCACTACATTTACATGTACACCACTATGATATTAACCACTGTCGTGTAAACAGCATTTTCTGACGACCTTAATCTAAATCTAAATCTGGATTCTAGAGTAAACAAGTAGTTGGACGTAATGGTGACGAGTCATCAGACTGCTCTGTTACATGTCAACAGGAAAATGAATGAGATATTCTACTGTCAACTCGATGTACACATTATAATCAACCAGTAGTTTCGTGGTTGTGAAATACAGGTCTGAGATTTCTCCTCTATCTCACTGCAGTGGAGATGAATGGTATTTAATTTACGCTGCTCATAGAAAAATGATGACGTCCCCATAACTCTGGATGATGTGAAGAAGTCACAGAGGAGTTCCTATAGGAGGAGTTTCACTAGAATGAGCCCCACAAATGTAATTTAATCATGTCCTTGGGGCCTGATCACCAGTGTGTCAGTATCAAATACTGACAAGTACATCTGTGATCAGAGTGTTTGATTAAAGTCATAATTTTTCCACCTTTAGACTTTTTGGTTCGACAACATTAGACATAAGATGTCAGGAGTTTCTCTGTTAAATTATGAAAAGATTTTATGATTCATTGCAACATAAATTCTTCTTCTTATTATTATTACATTTCATATAGTAGTAATAATGTTTTTAAAAAGGCACCACTACACACTTCCACTGCATTTGATGATGAGAGAGAAATCTCAAGAGGACAGTGCTGGGTGGTTATGTACGTCTGTGTTAGTTGGTGATAAACAGATGAGTTGGTTGATGCCTACACTAGAAAAGTAAATTTATGTAAAGCTGGTTTGATTTTTTTGATTAATTTTGGGCAAGAAAAAATCTTGATGTCAGTGTTGGACATTTTAATAGAGTTAAAAGCAAAATGCCTGGAAAAAGCTAGCTGGGTATTATAGCGATTCATTACTCCCACACACAGAAAAACCATGCACGTGAAATGAGCACGCAGACAATATCCTCATTAAGCAGCATTTCTGCTCTGCCTGCACAAATGTAGACCCGTGAGAACGAGGCTGTGATGAGCTGTACCTGTGCACTCTGAACAGCTCAACACGTGTTCACTTGACTCTTGAGACGGTGAGAGTGGCTGACGTCTCAGCTCTTTTTATTGGTCACTGGACATACTGGGGGGGGCAGTGTCTTAGCTGTTCCAAGGACTGAGCTCTTCTGGACAGAGAGCTCAGATGGTCTCCTGGTGCTACTCTCCCAGTTTAGGGATTACAGCCTCCAGTCTATCCTCTCTCCCTGGGCTTCCTTGTGTAATATCATTTCCATGTTTTCTGCCCTACTCCATGATTGTCTGGTTTCAGTAGCCTGCTCCTCATCAGGTTGACGACTACAGTTGTCACGACAAGTAAAAATAGGATCCTAGCCTTTCCCAGGATTTACTGTAGACTGCTGGTGTTGAAAGTGACCAATCAAAGGAGCGGAAACATCAGCCACTGTCCCCGCCTCCAAAGTCCTAGCAGTCAAATGAACGAGCAAACAAGTGTTGAGGTTCTGTGAGAGTCCAGCTCGCACTCCCGTGCTTGTGGAACCACATTTGTGCCCAGAGCTCTTCTAAGCTTTCCATGCTCATATCACGTGCTTGGGTTTTGAGACCATAGCAGCTCTCTAACCAATCAGAGTGCTTGTTACGTCCCCTGCCTGATTTTGCTGCATTTCGAGGGTTCGGGTTGAGTTTACACACGTGTTTGGCATGAGAGGTAGGGACTCCACTGAGAGCCATGTTTATAGGTTAATTGAGCCGACCCTTTAACCCAACGTTATCAAATGTCATGAAAAATGAATTATTGAAAAAGATGAGGCTAACAATAAACTGACCTTGGATCCGACCTCCACTTTGACCTCCAGGACTTTTCCAGGCATGGGTGCTCCCACTTGACCCTTGATAGATTTCTGGGCCTTGGGATGGAACTTCATTTCCTGGGTGGAGGGACAAAGATTTCATGCATTCATCTGTCCATTCAATCAAACATTCAAGTCATTTACTCACTTCACATTTATCCAACAAACAATCCTCCTCCCTCCTGCCGTCTATGTTTTTAGCTGCACTGACGTCTATCTGTCATCCATAATTTATCCATCTATCAACCCATACTTCAGTTCTTACGTCAACACCTCCCCCTCCCTCTATGTATCAATACCTCCCTCCATCAACCCATCGACTATCCCTGCATCACGTCCCACCATCCCTCCCCTCTGTACCTTCATGGCGAGCGTGTCTTTAACCAGCACAGATCTCAGCTGTCCATTCAGCTCAAAGAAGACCTCTCTCTGACCGGCCTTGTTCAGGTCACCCAGTGCCAGCGCCTTGATGTGGAGGATCTTTCCTCTCTCCAGCTCCACCTGAGATAAATCAAAGCCAGAGAGTGGAGGAGGAAGGGAACAGGAGGGGGGGGACAGAGGAGAAAAAATGGAAGGAGGATGAAGGAGGAAGGGACAGAATTTATATTAGAATTTTGAGGTGAGTCCAGCTACAGCAATAAAGACTGACTGCACAGCTTGATGAAATTAAAAAGTTAGTGGGGTGAGACGAGCAGAATGTTTCCTTCTTTTTTCTTTGCAGTAATCCCCAGGATGCACTCTGTTGAAGAGTAGGAAATCATCAAGGTTGTCATTCCATGAGAAGGGACTTTTTTAACCTCCCTTTATTTAAATAGCCAAATAAATCAAATAATAAGGCATCGTATGGTTGGAAACACTTTTTACATTTCACTACATTTACCGTTACTCCCTGTCTTTGATTATTAGCTTTCCATTGGTGTGTTTAACTAAATCTGACAGGACAATCATGTTTTGAATTGGAACGGATGAAACACATTTTAAGTTCACATGTTAGTCACATGAGTCACAAGTGTCCCAGTGAGACATGACAATGTGGCAATGAGTCATCTTGCACAAAACCAGGACCATGAAACTAAAGCAGCTAAATGGATTTCAGCCATTACTCATTTTATAATCTAAACTCTTTTCTACCATGACGAGTCAAAATATATTGAAAACCAATTAATGTCATTTTCACACCTGTGGTTCAATTCATTAGAACTGGACCAAATTATTGCAAATATTCCAACATTTTTTAAAAGGAAACTGACAATATAAATTTAAACACAAGCACAGTATCTCCAACACATCTGTTTAACCTTTTTTTAAACATTCTGATACATCAAACAAGTGATCTTACATTAATACTGCATTTATACATATTTATGAATAAATAAATGGGTCACGATTCACACCAGACATGGATTTTAAAATGTTGCAGGATAACTCTCAATCTTCTTTTAAATCTCTTCTCAAGACTATTGTGTGGCATATTAACTGTTGATCAAAGTCAAAACGTTTGTCAACTTTATGTCACTTCTGCCATATGTGGAGGACATAGACAGGATTGACAGGACAATTTCTCTCAGATCCCTTGTGTAGACCTATGAGTGGACATGTATCTGATGCAAACTGGGATAATGCAAAATAGATTAAGCAGTGCTAATACTTGGTTAATATGTAGATAATGTACAGTTGTGACAAGGGACAAGTAAAAAACAGCATTTGTAGCAAAACAACAGCAGATGCAGTAACGACAAAAAGTGACTAATGCATTTAGATATGGTTGAAACTAGTATTTCATCTTGCTACATTTTATGTTTTAGATTTTATCACTAGCATCATCTGTTTTATTGTAAGTCACTTTGTAACTTTGTTTTGAAGGGTGCTATATAAATAAAGTTATTATTTTAAACCATATTTATAATATCTGTTGAGAAAGCCCGGACAAAACAAATAACAACCGTACGGTTTGTGTTGGCACTTTCACTACATCAGAGTAGTAAACAGGCATGAGTGGGTATTTTCTGTGAATCTGTGTTTACAGCGCTAGCAGACATCAAATAAGGAGAGAGGAGGTATAGACAGAATGACAATATGAGAGATAGAGAGACAACGTGTCAGATTTGAGGATATAAAAACATTTTCCGGCCTTTAAACTAAGACACTACCTGCCACCTGTAACAGTGTTGTTTAAAGACAAAGACATTACTCTGCGTCTGTGTCAACACCACACAGTCCCTCTCATATCAATTCTGCTCACCGCTGTGTTGTCTCGCTTGTCTTTCCCGCGACACCAGCCACTGCACCTCTTCATTTATCTCACGCCTCTTCTCTCTTGTCTTACCAGTCGGAAACTCATTTTTACCGTCTTTCCCATTTGTCCAACTTCCTCTCTTTGTCTAGCTCTCTTTCTCAGTCCCCCCCATGTGTCACAGCTTTCCATTTTCTATTGTTGTTCCTCCACCTATTTCTGGGGACAGTGTCTCTCTAATGCCATTATTAATTCCTCTCATCTGGCTCTTTCGGCTTCTGTTTTCACTGTTCTCTCTCTGTCTCTCTCACCCCTTCCCCTCTCATCCTTTTCGTTTTTCACATTGACATCTCAGCTGCAGAGTCTCCATTGATATTCCAAACTAAGTCTCGGTGCTAAGACGAAAATACACGCCGCTGCAGGTATGTATTGATCTTGGTTTCATTCTGCCTCTCTTTTTTTTGCTGCTAACAAAACCTTTCTTTGCATGCCTTTGCTTTCTCTCTGGCACTCAATCATCATCTCTCTCCACCTTCCTTTACACTGAACTCGCTTGTGCCGTTTTTAATCGCACTCCTGGCAGCTCTTTACAAAAAAACAAAACTGCCTTCCCCTTTCCAACACTGTGGCATCTACACTTCATCTCACAGCTGCTCCAATGAAAAATACACTGTCTCTTTGAAGAGCTGCAACACATGTATGAACTTCAAGTAGATGATAGTGTTTAACACGTAGCCATGTGTGTGTATGCCAGTTTTACAGTGAAGATAAAAAGACAACTTCAGTGCACTGTCTGACATGCACTTGTTTAAATGAATGTGACAAACACTCGGCACTCACTCCTGCCTCCCACACACTGATGTTACAGGTCATACAAATACTCTTTACAGCACACCTCCTCCTCTATGGTTAGAATTACATTTAACTGCTTTAATGTTCAACCTTGTTCCAGCTCTGTGTTAAATAGAATCTCATCATATATTTCATTCTTTCTGGGAAACAGCAACTTAGAAAACATGTAGACAGTCGTTAAGTGTAGTAAGTAAGTGTATATCTTACAGTTAGTCTGTAAATAAAGGTAAAGTGTTGTGTATTTAAAGGAAGTTGCACAACCTTGACTGAACTGCAATACCACTGTGAATAAGTTGCTCCAAAGATAATTATACTTTTCTAATTTTTTCCTAAAGCCATTTCAACACTGCAATCTGTTTAAAATGTGTGTGGGTAGCTTTGTTTATTACATAGTGGGACTGAAGATTATCAATAGCACGGGTTGAGCAATGTGATTACACTAATAAACAACTGGATTTAATAACCTGTGAACAATTTAGCAAAAATAAGCTCAAACAAACTGACACACACCTCCGATCGTTTACAAAAGTTCAGGTTTGCCAACTCCTCACTGTCCTATCGTCCAAGTTCACACATTTACACTGAAGTTTTTAATGATGTATTCACTATGAACAAGACAATAATTGGTTCTTTCAACACATTAATGCAGGTAATCTAACATGGCAGCGCCACACACAAAGGCAGGTGAACCGGGAGTGGAGGCCGATCAATCACAGCAGAGCTGGCTAATGAGAGCAGACTGGGCATTACCCAGACGAGCACCAAAGCCAGAAATTTCAGACTAAGGCTGAAAGAGGAGCTGCAGCAACAGTTTGAGGAAAGTGATGTGTTTCTGAACATTAGAGCATGTAAACCTTATCAATCATAGCCTAATCAAAATTATGAATCACTTTATGAGCAGCACTGACTTGGATCCACAGTATCTCTGACACCTTACATTTCACATCACTCCTTTTGCATGAGTTTATTAATGACATGTGTAGTAATGAGATTACTGCGGTGTTAAGCGATTTATGTGTCGGTGTCTGTGCACATTAGCGCTGACAGGCTGAGTATGACGGGGTCCATGTCTGTGAAAGTCTGTTTATATTTTCGTCAAACATGATTAATGCCGTGCTGAGTCATCAGAACATGCCAGATAGGTCAACGTGTTTTTACCTCCTGTTTGTGTTGTATGCATGTGTGGGTGAATGACAGCGATGTACAGAGCTGTCACACGTGTAGGTGTCATTTTGTGCATCTGAACAATCTCAATCCAATTCCACAAAGTCTGCACTCGCCCTTAAAGAAGCTATTTCAGTGTCACATACTTCAGTATTTTGTCCGACTCAGAAAGAATCAACAATGAAGCATCTTTACAGAATAAAAAATTACCATATAAAAACTTATACTCTGAACATGATCAGGACATGACCACTACAAAGAGGAATCTTCTGAGCCGGCTGCTCACTCGCTGATAAAGCTCTTCTCCTGGATTTGCAAGAGCTACACAATCCCAAACGTTTACTTTGAAAACCTTTCCTATCTACTTCTCATAACAACAACTCTTTAGGGCTTTAGGTCGAGCTCATCGCTCAGAGAGCTTTGGTACTGAAATTTGTTTTGATCAAGGTTTCCAGTGTGTGCTGCACACAATAGATGCCGAGAGCTCATAAACAGCTTTTGTTCCGAGTATACAGTTTATGGTGCAGTTGCTGCAGGAAACATCTGTAACGAACAGGTGCTGAATTTTGCTGCTGTCACTGCAGATTTAGCACAAACGCCAACTAAGGCTCACAGTCACAAGCTCAAAGTATTTTTCTTTGCTTCATCCTCTATTCTATATTGCAGATCATTTAACTGAGAAAAACCGTTACCGTTTGTTCTACGACCACTTTGGTTTTGTGAATTTGTTGCATTTATCCAGAACAAAACCCTAAATTATATTTTGTTTGCCTTTCACTTTGTCTACACAGTTTCAGATCACACACAGATGCCTGTATTTAACTCAGAAAGGTGTTTTCTAGGTGAAATGCAGGAGTGAATTAAACCAACTCGACCATTACAAACATTCCTAATTTAAAAACTCACCAAATTGCTTTAGCTGCTCAGTGCTATTTCTTCTCCTGAGGGCTCCTCAGTGCTCTGACTACTGCAATCAGCATTTCAATGGCTCCCACACATGAGCAGAAAGAGAAATGTGCTTGAGCAGCCAACATTTACTATTTCTGATGGTCCTCAGACACTGTCCTGCTGCAACACACACACTACATCACAGTGAGGGGCTTCGAATATAGTGTCCATCCTAGAAACACAAGAATATCTGTCTATAACGCAGTTCAGTCACCAACTATGACCTTGATGCTCATACATGCATTAGATTAGGATTCTCAAGGACAACTAATTAAAAGGTGTAAACCAACTAATACTGCTATATGCAACACTCACTTAACACAATGAAATCAATGCAGCTAAATGCAGTTACACACATGACCTGACCCCACTCTCATTAACAACACTAGCAAAAATGTATCGGATTGCAAATAACAGCAGTGAGATCAATTGTTCTGAATGCAGCTGCCTCGTTCAGCCCTTGTGGAATTGTTCACAGTAAAAGAAAAGACGGCAGCTAACAAGAACTTGATGCTTTCTCTGACAGTTCACTTTTTTTTGTCATGTTTTCATTCCATTCCTCGCCTGGTACCACTAATTGGACCTGATCTGGGGGGGGTACCCATCGTCATGACAACAGGGGAAGGCTTGTTTATGTGGCGATGACTAACTGAGGTTGAGCACAAAGCCGAGTGCCTGAAAGTTCTAAAAACAGTGGGGAGATTAGGATAAACAGCAGCAAAGCGAGGTGCATACGGAGTAGGAAAAAGGTGTTAGTTGTTTATTTAGCCTCAACAACAAATCAAGAACAATTTATTCAAGCAAGCTATTTAGTATATTGTTGGAATTTAAAACAAATGTCACTGACGGACTGAACTGCAGCTTCTAACCATATTTAATTTACTGTTTAACAGAACTCTGATTCTCGTCGTGTGTCTATTTTTTCTTTTATACAAAATGTAGCAGGCACACTTTTTTTAATCGCAGGTAAGCTCACTAAAAAAAGCTTATAGACTCCTATCTCCTCTCTTTATCCATCTCTTCAATGTAACAAATGCAACAACAACTGATGCCCTATGATATCCAACCTGTAGAGATTGACAGGAAAGTGGGTAGGGAGTCATTTTATCTTTTGGGTCGGAGCTAGATACACGCAATCAATACTAAATCAACACAATCAATTCTGGTCCTGATTCTTTGAGAATAATACAGCAGCCAAGTAGTGATGCTCCCATGTCGCATACTAAAAAAATCAATTAACACGAGCCTGGAACCATTTTGCCGCAGTGACATGAAGCAGTAATTAACCATGGAAGCCTTTGGTAGCCCTGAATCTGTCAGTTAAATCAGTGTGTGTGTTTCTCATAACTGAGAAAATATTGAAAGAAACAAAAAGAAGAAGAGCAGAAATGAATTAATGACGTGTGTGAGGATTAAACCAACGCTGGCAATAATAAGACTATGAGTGATGCAGTGTTGACAAGGAGCCGTGTGAAAATGGTTAAAGTTAACAGGAAGCTGAAGGGAAAGTCGACTTTAATGTTGCCATGAATTTTTTAATTTTATCACATTTGAAAATTAAATATTGAAGAAATGAAAGCTGGGGAAAATGGAGCAATGACTCAACCATCCCTGCTGTCGCCTTTCAGAACGTAACAGAACTGTGCAAAATGTAAACATCATTCCAAAATTGGAAACACCTGGAATGTGATGACATTTTTCTGATTCAGATAGAGGTTCTTAAATTTGAGTTTTTGTTCCTGCAGTCAGGAAATATAAAAAGCAGGAGGCAGTCCACGAGTGTCACACGAACACGACAGGTCTGTTTTTTAAAGAAAGCTTTAGGAGATTTATGCTGCTAGCACTGATAAATATCACATTTTCTGTCTGTACTACAGAGTGCAAAATTAGCACGACCCATTTTCTTTTAAACTGACTACGTTATATCCCTTATATAGGGCGCTGATTGAGGACGAGAGGAGCGTAGAGCTGTGGGTATGAGGCATCAGGGACCCTGGGTGAGATGGGAGCAAGCCACAGATTGGAAAATATAACGAGTGCATCAAGTTCCTGATCCAGGTGGTGTATATGTGATGAGCTGCTCAGTCCTTTAAACCTTTTCACCTGGACCAAAGTGGAAAACACTGGAGCACATCCTGGGCTCGGGCACAAAGCCTCAGTGGCAGGACACAGTCAGGTGCCGCAACCCACTGCAGAAGCCATCGGCATCACAATGAGCAGCTGCAGACGAGCACACGCCTCCACAGAGAGACTCTTTTGAGAAAACAGGTTAGCAGCAGGACCTAAAAAAACCACCAGGAGTTCTGGTCACTGCACAAGAATGGCACACTGTCACAACCTAAGGCAAAACATCCCCTTGGTCTCAGAGGCCAAGAACATCATCCTAGTGGAAGTGACAGTGCCATGGAAGGAATACATGGATATGCCACAAGCATGGCTGGAAGGAGAGATGCATGCCCATCCAGGCTGGATGCAGAGGATTTGTGGGGCAATCACTCTAAAAAGCCTTGAGCCAACTTTGTATCACTGGAGTGGCAAAAAGCAGAGGCGTGAGCATCACCAAGGCAACGGAACGATCCTGGAGATGGCTGTGGATTAGGACGGGAGATTCACGGCTACCTTAAGACAGACACTGTGACCTGATCAACCACAGCTGGGACAGTAGGTGTCTTTCCCACAGCCAGAAGCTTAGTGTACTAACCAGGGTGATTGTAGAGCCACATATGTCTCATTTGAATATTTATTACAGCGTGCTAATATCTGTGTCATTGAGAAAGAACTATGACACACATACATTACAAACAATGAGTGGTGCCCAAACCTTTCTCTTAAAAAAATAAGAAGCGTAAACTAGATGGTAACGTAATCAACACCAATCTAAACGTATTCAGGACCTGGTGTGAATATTCAGGACGAGAAGTTCAGATGACTGAATTGACTTTAAGACCCCGCAGAAACCAGATGTGAAACTATTCTCAACTTGTACATTGAGTGAAATAAATCAAATCCATTCATTACAATGCAGAATGCCAGCACCATTACCTTTAACCTAATCTGCATAAGGTTACCATTTTTATTTTTAGATGTTACACTCCTCGCTTCAACAAGAACATTAACATCTTTAAGACCACTGCCATCGAAATCAGAGTCCAACAACATCAGGCCTCATCTCCTCGTTTTACTGCGTCGCCCTCACATAAACATTAGTGCCTGCTTTTAAAGAACGCTCACGCAGAACCACGACACGAGGTCAGTACTGAGCTGCCGTCATCTCTGACCAGTCCCACCTCCTGTTTGACTGCTCCATACTGTCGCCATCTGTCACAGGTACTGAGTCCTACTGAGTAAATGTGCCAGGTTTAAGTTAAATAAAAAAGAGCATCACCACGAACAGCACACTAGACTTGTGATAACTGCATCTTAATATGCCTGGGTTCACTCAGTCGAGTGTTAATGGTTTTCTATGTTTTTTTACTCCTCCAAGATAAAGTCTCATGAAAAGTGTGATTTTCTTTTCTACACAGTTAATAATTAAGTGGCCACTTGATTCTTTAAGTCTTTGCATTCTAAAATACCCTGTCCAGGAAACATTTTGCCATAGCCTCTAAAAACGACTTAGTTTTGATTGGTGTACAAAAAATATTTCTTTATGTGATAACACACTGAGTGACAGACTCTTTCAACATCTCCTTCAGTAGCAAAGCACATTTCTTTTTGATCTGACACGTGTTGCAAAGGCTACCGTCAGTAGTTTCAATAATCTCTTTGGTATTCACTAATCAATCTGGACTAGAACATTCTCTCTGGTTTGAGTTTTGCTCATCAGTGGTTCCTCCTGTCATCCTCCTCAAATCATCCATTTACGCATCTTTTCTGCAGCTGTCTCCTGCGCCGACACAAACTTTCAGTCAGCACAGCAGGCGTGAAATATTCCTCCTGACTCTATACGCATGTCTGCACGTACATTTCCGTCACTTTCTGATTTTCTGGCTTCTTCTGTGCCATACTAATTTGTCTGCATGCAAAGCAAATTCAGCTCATTTGTTTCTCCCCTTCATTGGAATGCATGGCCACATGCCTCACTGTTGGAGAGTAAACAAATACTATACTCTTTAGAAATCCATAACAGTTATATTTTGGTCGGAGGTACTGGCCCTCAGGAGCTTCTCACTGGCCTGCTCTCAAACACTATATGACAAAATGAATCAGATTTTTCTGTGCAGAAAGACCAATGTGATTGCCGAAGGGATCAGAAATGCTGTTTGTTGCTCCCTTGATAAAGTGTTAATATCTCCGTCCTCCCCACTGTGTTATCAGCACTTCACTGTGCCTCTGCACCAAACTGCATCAAACCTCCGCCATCTGCAGTGATGGAAAAATGTCCTGCTGATCAGCTCTGTGCTTTGTGCTACTGCTATTTCATCTGAATGTATTCATGTGCTGAATTAATTTGTAAATGAATGACTAATACAATTAAATGTGTTATCACAGTATTAGTGAGAAATGTTTAACGATAATTTAACTTGTGGATAAATGTTATCGAACAAGTGAAAATGCGTCATTAATGAATAGATTCATCTCAAACTGCTCAGGGAAAGGTGAAGGGGAACAAGTAAACTACAACAACAACCTAACCCACAGTTTATATAACAGAAAAATACTGGCTCTTATATGACATTTTTTCTTTTATCCCAAAAATCACTGTTAACATCAGTCCCACTGCTGCAGCATGGATTGTGCTCTTATTCTTAGTATGCATGGCTCCAAAAGTTTCATGGTTGTACATTTATTCTGAAATTAAGTTGATTACCTCAAACTCCTCTGCGATCTTGGGTCCATCCAGGAACAGTCTGGTGCTGAGACAATCCACTGGGCCAAAGTTAGCTGAGAAGGAAACAGATGTGATATCAAAACAAGCATTTCAGACTTTTCTTTGTAGATCAAAATCCATCTGACTAATTCCAGAAATATGTTGGAAGTTTGTGGAAAAGTATGTGGAACTCTTCATCTTATCAGCTTCACACTTGGCATTTGTATTGTTAAGGAGCCTAATGATGTTAATATTCGCATTTGGACACACGATACGTTCAATATTAATAGACTTTGAATATACAGGGGACCACTGCAGCCAGTCTTTATTCACCACAGCTCAATTACTGCAGGTCACTTTGACAGTTTCAAAGAATCATCTTGTGTCACCTACATGTCTGTCTGTGTCACTGACTACATCAGAAATGGAGATAAAGATCAGGTTCAGGGAAAAAAACTAAAGGAAGTGTACTCCAATTAAAACTCGCAGCTCAAAGCAACAATGAGGTTTGCATGAATCCATGAATCTGTCAGTACTCTGAACAACTTTCAGTCATGTTTAGCTCATTGAGCAGGTGTCCTATTAATATAAACTTCCAGCATCAGTCTTCTCCCGACTCCTGAACATGCTGCTGCTGGCTGAGTGCACTTCAAACTCGCACCTGCTTAAAAATGCAGTTTGTGGTTATGCTGATTCCTCCCTCTAGCTCCAGTCCTTGCTATTCTGGTGTCTTATTTGTGCATTATGTAAATGCACCATGTGAATGACAGGTGATTGCTGTTTTCTGTGTGGTTTCCCCCTTTTGGGGCTCAACAACTTTTCCCTGAATCCAGGGAACGTGATTTGTAAGAAGTTCCACATAGAACAATTCAAAACATCTCTATCAACTGCTGGAACTTTATAATGAGTGTCTCTTACTAAAGGTTGGCTTGTGCTCATTTTAGGCCCCAGTAAAAACAAATGGGAGTGTGTGCATGTTAGACACCAATCAAACCAGATCCCACAGAATTATTGAATATAACAGATCAAATTTGATGAAATTCATATTTCATTAATTGAAAGTTGGCATCTTTCAAGTCAGCCACTCACAAGTAAAGTCCTTGAACTCCTGGAACACCTTAGGGTACATGGCTGCTGACATCACATCCTCAGGGGTGATTTCGTCGCCATGTGCAGCTCGCAGCCCCTCCTCCAGGGCCTTAAAGTCCAGAGGTGGCAGCGTGGCACCGGGACGACCGTCAATACGGGGGAGAGACTTCAGCACCTGAGACAGGAGGTGAAAAACAAAAGGACGTGAGAACGATGGAGGGAGAAGGAAAGAGAGGTGACACTAAAAAGGAATGAGAATGCATGACAGAAGAAAGAAAGAGGAAACAAATGGATTGCTAAAACTTTTTATTCAGAGTAATATAGTTTTACTCCTGAGAGTTTTCCCACTCGCACCATCCCCATGGGACACTGAAGCAGGTGGGATGTTCAAAGTTGTACCTCACGACTATACATCTGGATGAATGCTGAAAACTATCACATCATTTAGCAACAGAGAGACTTTAGGTGGGAGGAGGAGGACAACAGAGATGCATGGGGAGCTGCTTTGAGGGATGGAGAAAGAGGGAGAGAAGCACTTGAATCGGTGAGAATATAAAACTTATTAATGCAAGTTATTTCACATTTGCATAAAAGTGGCACCACTGCTGTGTCAAGATCTGCAGTGATTTCCACTTTGGTTCTCTCCATCTCTCCCACTCCAATTCATCTTTCTCTCTCCAGTAAAGTACCATCAGGCCTACGAATGACTGCAGCGGTGCCGCATACACATCATCCACCACCCTTTCTTGGAAATAGTAAAGGAGAGAGAAAGACAAGGAGGCCGACAGAAAGAAAGAGGATAATTCAGAGGCCACTATAAGACTAATGATATGACATTTTATGTGCCCACACAGTTGTTGGTATCTGACACAACTTGCAGAGACAATCCATCTGAGGCCACTAATATTGTCAAGTGAAGAAGAATATGTTAGGACACAGGCTTTTCACCTGAAGGCACCTGCTTTGCTTTTGTTTTCACACATTTCCTCAGTTTGTGATGACATGGGATCTAAAGAAGCTCAGAGGAACGGAGGTAACGATGCAGGAATCTCTACAATTAGCCCAGTTAGTTTAGCCTTGCATATGAAAACAGGTTTGGAACAGCTCAGTTCACTTTGATTTCATGGTCACAGAACAGACCTAAAAATATTAACAGCAAACCTCAACATGCCATGTTCTACACCAATAATGTGCAAATGAGTGAAAACACATTTTGAGATGAAGTACAGTGCTGTGTGCATCATCATGTCGCCTGTGTGAACTCTGCCCGTACATATATTCACGTTGTTTTGGAAGGTGTGCTCTCTGCTACATTGTAGTCACTGTGCATTTCATATCTCATGTGTCTGTGGAACATATCGGCACACGAGTGAGAGCCTGTGTGTGCCTTGTAGAAATCTCCAGACAAAAGGAGCCAGTGCGATGCTATTAGTCACAGAGCTAACAGTTCAAAGATAGCTGACTCATTTGTGTGTGAGAGAAACACTTCAAAGATGGCAGCCTCATTGGATGCCGTGCTCATTAGCATTGTGTCCCTAAAGGATCTCTTACACCTCAACTGCTTGATTGTTTAGGTGTAAACGCACACAGATAGTGGCTCTGTGTGTGTGTGTGTGTGTGTGTGTGTGTGTGTGTGTGTGTGTGTGTGTGTGTCCACATTAACAGATGAAGGAAAGAAACTCTTGAAGGTCATTTGCTCGTTCTCATTTTTCTGAAAATCACTCAACAATACAATTCCATCTTTTCTATTACAGTCACACATTTTTCCCTCTTCATTTCTTTTTGAGATTGTGGTGTTTTTTTTTTTTTTTTTTTGAATTTACTCTCTTTCTGATGGCCTTCTTATTCTCTCCCTCTCTACTGCAATCATCCTCCCACTGTCTCCGTGTTTCTTTCCTTTGTCCTCTTNCCATTTATTCTTTCGGCTCACACTTAGCATCAGAAATAGTTATAATTCAGTCGGGACCTCACGCCAAACTCCACTCTGACCTTTATGCATTCTGCTTTTTTTTTTTTTTTATTCTTGAATTTACTCTCTTTCTGATGGCCTTCTTATTCTCTCCCTCTCTACTGCAATCATCCTCCCACTGTCTCCGTGTTTCTTTCCTTTGTCCTCTTGTCTCTGTTGTTTTCCTCTCCCTTGTCCACCCACCCTGCAAATGAACTGAGCGTGACGGAACAAAGATGAGGAAATGCCTCAATTACTACTTTGTGTCTTGAAAAGTTCTCCCTGTTCATGCAAACAGCTTGGTGACAGTCTGAAGTGAATGTGTGTAAGAACATGTGATATAATCAACATTAAATAAAGGAACAATAATCATTCTGTGCTGCGAGCAAGAAGATGTACTGCTGCTAATACACTGATCAAATCAGGACTTCCAGAAGTAGCCAAATTCAAATGCATGAAAGCAACACTATGTAACTTACTGAGGAACAGCGCCCCCTGCAGCCACATGGTGATTTATTCTGTTGGGCTCCATTCCCGAAAATAAACAAAGCCAGAGCTGTGACTGTGTAAGTCCCACTCACTGAACTGAAACACAACTGAGTGCTAGATATTACCCATGATCACCGGCTTCCTGAGCCAAAAGAGCAGCCGCTGTGACAAATACACCAAACTCTGTTTAGAATTCTTAATTTTTTAAAGATTCTTCCAGAATATTGAAGATAAACCCTGGTTTTTAATGACTTCTAAGTCTTTTTAACTGATCTACAGTTCAGCATTACTCTTAAAATAGCTGAGCCTGATTCTGGAAGTTTAACCTGCGACTATCATTCAGTTGAACACTTCTCACAGGAGATACAAGTAGCATTCATGCCTCCAGTCAGCTGTTTTAAGAATTCATATCATAAACAAAATTATCTTTTACTTTGTTGAAACCACTTTTACTTTCTTCTTAATTAAGCAATTACTAATTCCTTAGATTTAGATGCTAAATGTTCGGTGCCAGTAACATTTATCAGGTTTAAACCTGCAGCCTGGATGTAAACACAGGTGAACATGATAAACACACTACTATAGCTTTCCTTCACATTGTTTTATTTGTGTGTCTCTGAATTGAACTGAATCAGTGGGATGGGGAGTTCGTTTTTCAATAAGCTGTGTGTGAGAAAGCCTGTTTGTGCATTCAACAGTGAGGGTGCATTGTCATTGGTGTCCTGGTATGAATATCTAAAGGAGAGTTTTAGAGGAACGCTCTGACGTTTTTTGGCCGAGATAAGAAACGTATACATATGTGCTGAGGATTTGCTTTGAACACTATAATGCGAGCTACAGCTTTGACAAAATTCCTAATGAATGGTGCAAGCTGGCTGAGCCTCATGGAAAATGCATTGTGCAAAACCAAAGAGCTGAAATGCAAATATTTCCCTCTACAACACACAGGAGGTAGCAGGAGAAAAAGTTCAATGGGCAAAAAAACTTTTGCATTCATGTATGCTGAAGATAGTTCAGCCTATCTCAGCATAAAGTATTCCAGTGCTGACTGAAACTAAAAAATAAAACTGGAACCAGAGAATTTGACTCAACACAGAGGATGTGCACCATTTAGTTAAATGGGAATCTTTCCCTCGCCACGTTTGGAGAAACATGAGACAGAGAGACATTAATGGACAGGTAGAGGGTGATGGGAAAAATGGGAAATATCAGTGGGACTGTCGAGGGTGGAGCTGATAAATGAAAAACGTTCTGATAATATAATCAGCGTATAAAGCACAGCGGCGTACAGAGACAGAGTCAGAAAGGACAACTTGATGATGAAGGTGACGGAAGAAACAACAACTAAGTAAATCCACAAATAAATGGATAGACAAGTTCATAAAGTCATGACAAAGCAGAGGGAGTTTCACAATAAATATGAGACAGACAAAGAAAAAATACAAATTGCTAGATTTAATACAGTTAATCCAAACAGGTCAGAAAACAGGAAAGCTAACCGTGTTTAAACGATGTTTTATCAGCAGCAGATCTTTCAGGCGCTGCACAAATGTTTACAGAAGCCTCAGCCACATATGGTGACATAATGAGTCTCTGTTAGAAAGTGAAGACTGGGTCATGAACCAGCCAGCTCATTGACAACGCCTCATGAAACACTGTTTCTACAGACTAACATCAGAAACACAGTCTGACTCTTGTGGGGGGAAATATCAAGTATGCCAATATGTCAGCATGTTTTTGGGAGTGTGTAGTAAATTTGCTTTTCTTTTTGCAACTCTCCCAAGGAGACTTCACGCTGTTGCTCCCTGATGCACATGAGAGCGTCTCCCTCGCTGTTTGCAAGCGTGGAGAGAAGAGACAGGAGAGGTAGACAGACGTAAAAAACGAGAGGACGGAGCAATATCACGGTTTTCTTCACCGTTTTCAGCACAGTCACGGGGAAGCGCAACTGTCAAATGTAACCGAGCATGTGACAGAATTTCTGCACTTGAACGTACACGTGTCATTAAATCCTGCCTGTGTTTGTGCTGTGTGTTGGTTCTATTAGAGGAAGGAGTGTCAAAGGCAAAGATTCAAAGTTCTAAAGTTTGGTGGTTGTGTGTGTGTGTTTACCTACTGAGACTTTCAGGCTTTCCTAACAATGATCATCTTAGCTGAACAACATTTCGACCGTGTTCATTCATGGTAATAGTCTGCCCGGAGACATAAGATCACAAGAGGACAGCCCTCCTTAGCTCATATCTCATAACAAAATGTGTCCTGAATGCTTCTCCGCTGACCAGATCTCATTTCTCCACTCTACATCACAAACAATCACTGACGTCATTTGGGTTTGTGAAGAACAAATGATGTTGTTTTTATCCAGTCTGAGTTTAGAAATGTGTCCGATGACCGAGTGAGTCAGTGCGAGCAAGTGAGAGAGATACAGAGAGAGAGGGAGCGAGCCGAGTCGGGGGGGGGGGAATGAATGAAATCACAAAGCCATGAAGAAAGATTTGACCAACTTAAGGAAATGATCAATCATTATGTGGTGATTAATATTTATTTTGTGATAGTGGTGAAAATCAAATCAACATGTGGCCACATACGTCACAGACCTCATGTGGTCTGAGTGATCAGCTCTCAGGACAGATGTCAATACCTGGTCTGAACAGGGTCTTAAACTATCTTACCTACATAGTCTCTGCTCTCATTGGAGTCTATGCAACTTCTGCCACCAGACTCATGTTTCTGTCTGATGCTCTCACGGGGGATCACGGATTAGTTGCTAATTAGTTGCTATTCATTGAGCGAATCCCTCTGCATTTCTTTAATCAATAGGGTCGATGCTAAAGTCTTTGTTCAATTAAGTTTCTGCCTTCATGTTAATTTGTGTCTTCCCTGATTGAAGCAGATATAGTGCTTCCTTTAAAAATGATAATGAATGTTAATGACAATCTTCAGAGGAAATAATCAGAAAATTCAAGACCAACAACAGTACCTTAGATCTGAAGGGCTCGGGGAATCCTCCATGTGGTATCCCAACGTATCCCTGCAGGAACTCCACCACAGAGAGGGGGAAGGATAACTCGTCCGCTCTCTCCTCCACTTCCGCCCTGGTCAGATTGTTCTGCACCATGAACTGAGCCAAGTCACCCACGATCTTTGAGGACGGAGTCACCTGAGAGAGGAGAGGAAATAACTGTGAGTGTCTCCGCTGGTTATATTCAATCCTTTTATTGTTTAAGACAAGTTAGAGGAAACGAAGAGAAGAGCTAACATTAGTTCTGTTTAGCTCTCTGTAAGATATTTCTGTTTCAGCAGAGATTTAACACAAGATATTAGTTGTGCGTTCTGCTCACAGATGATATCTCTGTTTGCTCAGGACCAAGAGGTGTTTTCTTTCTCTCTGTTTGTCCACTGCTCTTTTATTCTGACAAACTCACACAGGATAATATTACAGTTTCACTGGTGTAATCTTGTTTTTAGTTCCATCCCCAAACAGTAGAAATAGTTTGATTATACTGTCTGGCTTTTCTCTGTAAAGTCCCATAGCGTAGATTTGCAGGTAGACATGCACATCCATAATCATTTCACCAAAACAGAAAAGGGGCCACTGTGTCTTTGTGTGAATGAAGAGGCTGTCTATGAAGATTTAGTGCTGAGTGACCCAGAGAGAAGAGAGCACCAGGACAGCGGAATGAGAAATGAAAAGTTGTTTACATCCATACAGTCTCTTTAATCTTTTGATTTAGCAGATGCAAACAAAACCACGCAAGTTTTATCTTTCAATAGTGAATAAACCTGAAAATGAAGAGGGAAGAAGAAAGCGGGAGGAAAATATTCATTAAAAAGTGTGTGTATTCATTCTTTCATTATTGATAATGGCATATTATTATGGTAATAGCGATCTCTATTAGCATAATGGTGATAAGTGGAGTCTTTTTTGACTGTGACCAGGACACGGATGCCAATACCAATAGTCTGCATTACTCTACTGTTGTGTATGGGGACTCAGATTTAAAGCTTCCTGTTCATTCCATTTAGCACTTGGACTATTAGAGAGAGAGAGAGAGAAAGAGAGAGAGAGCGGGGGGGGGGGTCAATGAATGTGACTCACCAGCAATAAAATGAAAATCTAAAAACCAGCTTTCATGTTTTCTACAAATGTTCAATTCAGCGAAAAGGTGGGATGGAGGTGAGCACTTTGTCTCTGTGTGCTCGAGACCCAACCTCCTCTTTAAATTCTAATGCTGCTCTCACATTTCGGGCCCCTCCAGTCGAGGGCCAGGGTCCTGCGTATGACCCCCACACAGATTTGAGGAGCTCTAAAGTTAAGCCCTGACATCTTTATGATTACAGAGAACAATGAGCGGGCCTACGCTCGGCAAGTCACCAACTTTAGTGGTGATAAAAGAGAGAGAGAGAGAGAAAGAGAGAGAATAGGTGAACAAAAATAGCTTAAATTGACATTCCCCAAAGATTCCCCCGCAAAGAACTTGACACCTATTTTGAAGATTTGGTGACAAATTACCCAGAGTGAGACATGAAACACACAGATGGGCTCATACATAAATGCTGCTCTGGGATTACCACAACCCTCCTGGGGTTTGGTAACGTGTGTGTGTGTGTGTTTGCAGATGTGCTTTTGGTCTCTGGGGATGACAGGACTTCCAAACGCTGCATTATAACCTGTTGTAGAAGGTAAATAGCACCAGTACAACCACAGTAGCATTCATTAGAGAATTCTGCCATTTAAAATGAACTGCAGAATAAGTGTGCATCGTCTTTGGACATAAAAGTCACCAGTTTACATCCTGAACCCTATTTTCAGATGCAAGTGTGTATGTCTTTCTTACTGGGACCTCATAATGTGTGTAAAATCCGAATCTAAATTCAAATAATGATGCATTAAAACTTAAGTTGAAGCCAAAATGAACATAATATAATAAATAATATATTCTTACAGTAGCTATTAACGTTTGCAGATTCAACAGTGTTACGGAGGAAAAGAGGGGGTGTGAGATGTGTAATTTAGAGGAGGATAAATGTCGTCCTGTTTTCTTTTGAACTGTACTAAGAAGATATAAGCATTTAAATCTCCAAAGAAATTGATCAAACAAACCCTGGAATATGCATTTACATTTCCTGGTTAGATAGAGTTTTTAGTTTGTACTTATTGATTTACCAGCATTATAAATTAGTAATGTCTTGTCAGTGATTGTAAAAGCTGAGTTTTCTTCATTACTGGCCTTTTTTTGTATTCAATCTGCTCACATGAATTCGTGGTGTGTTGTGTGGGCTGGATATAATCGCTCCAAATTACACAATTGTTGACACAACTGTTTTTGAATAAATGAGATAGTTTTCCTCTCAAAATGGAATGGAAATGGTTCTAAATACCACAATACCACTGAGCCCTGCCACCGTTGCTATGGAGAGGAAGCCCGTCAGAGGCAGGAATCAGAGCAGCAAATCAAACAACGCCGTGGTTACTGCATCCATCCAAAAATTCAAGTGAATTGATTTAACGTTCATATTATGTTCCCATGTTCTGAAAACTAAAATCTTCAGCTTCCAGCAGCAGCATCTGAGATTTAAGATCTAGGATTGGATGTTAATTATCTTTCAGATGTAACAGGGAGAATTTCCATCCAGGCCGTGGACATTCTCCAACTGAGACTCACATAAAATCGTCTTTAGAGAAAATGCAAGGGACTTTATTTGTGGAAGCAGAGGTACCAGAAATAGTGCTCCCACTGTGGCCTTACATTCTTACAGCATTAGCTATTTGAGAACTATGTCACTGCAATAAGTCTCCCAGCGACAAACCACACCTTTAAAAAAAACACAAAAAAAAAAATCAGTCCAAGTCTAGAACCACTTTGACCAATTTAAAAAATCAGCCCAGCGAGCAAGTCGACGCTCTCCCAGCGTGACACAAAAGACACGCTTCCCGCTGATTGTAACAAGTGCGCACTTCCCGTTCACACTTCCTTGCTGCGACACCTAAACCTCAGCTTGATTGGGCTCGTGAAAAGTGGAGATAATGAAACATTTCTTGAACAGATTGACTGTTTACAGAGAAGCTTAAGAAATCTGAATGGGCTGTTGAAATCCCCAGAGAGGCCATTAACTTGGTGTTGCTGTGGAGCAAAAGCTCACTGCTGAGTTCTGAAATCTATCTAAAACACAAGAAAGCAGCAGGACTGTGCGTTCCTCGTCTACCTTCACCCACATCTCCTCTATTGTTTCCTCCGTCTTTCTGTCTCCAGGGTTTTTTCTCATCACTTTGACAGAAAAGTTTGGGATTTTTTTTTTAATATTATGTCTTACTCCATCCATCCCCCTCCAACTACTATTTTCTGTCTACAAGATAAAAACCCAAGATGTTGACATTTTACCCTTTCCTTGTGAATCAACTTCTCCCTGTCCGCTCTTCTCCTCCCCCTTGATCCACAGTATCATCAAGAGGTTTACTCTCATTATCAATCTCTGCTGATGAATCACCCTCCTCCTCCGACTCTCTCCGGGTGTCTCACACACACACAGGAGAAGGAAACCTTACTTCCAACTGTGTGTGAGATACATGTGATGTGTGAGGTTTTCTATATTTTTAGGCAAGGGATGTGGTAAATCACATTCTGGCTACGCAAGGTGAGAAAAATCTGAAATCGTCTGTTCCTGTGTTAAGCTGAAATCAAACTCTCAACTCTTCATCGAAAATATCTTTGTCTTTAGCGAAATATATCAGAATAAAATAATAATATCGGTGTATTTTTTTTAATAAATAGTAAGATTATATATATATTTTAAGATGTTAAAGATGAGGGGTGTGAACTATGTTTTTACTGAGCAATTAGAAATATAACTTTTTGGAAAATGTGTCAGTGGTTGTCATTTCTGTACAATTGAAACATTATCAGTGTTTTTGCCTGTAACAGAGCACGTTTGAGGATGTCAGGGATGCCATTAGTTGTGCCGGTAATTGGTCAGAAGTATTAGAAACAATAAATGAAGGCTTTCGGTGAATAGTCCGAATTTGCACCAGATATAAAAGCTTAATGTGAGCTACAAATGTGACCCTGCTGGTGGTGCATAAGGAAAAGTCAGGGGATCACCACAGTGATTAGAATTCATCCTCTGGAGACCAAGAATGTCTGAATCACAGACCGGATATAAAGATATGACAGTGACTGCATACATCATAAACCCCACTCTACTCCATGTTAGTAGATGAGACATGGACCAAAAAATAAAAAGTCAAACTACACGTCAAATTCATTTTTCTTAGAGATGGATTCTATTATTTTAGGTAGTTGTTATCAAATTGATGTTTGTCCAATTATTACGTTTTAATTACTTATTCAATGCTATAAAAACAAGGGTTGGCTCAAATGGCAGCGTTTGAATCTGGGATGTTTTATTTCGGGATACTTGTTGTCCATCTTTATACACAGTCTGTAAACAATCTGCTGTAGTTCCTCATAAAGAGTCAGTATCACACTTGACCTCTCTTTTCTATCAGTGCTCCCTCTCACACAAAGCTCTTCTTCCACCTCATGTCCATCCTCTCTGTTTCACTTATGTACAACTCTGAGTGCTCCTTCAAGACTCCACACTCCTGGCAGCAGAACTGGGGCACAGTGGTGTGTGTGTGAGTGTGTGAGTGTGTGAGTGTGTGTGTGTGTGTGTAAAAATGGCAGTTGTACATGTGCTTTTGTGTCATGTGTTTGTGTACTTTGCTCAAATTTGTTATGAAATGCAACTCTATCCAAACCTGAAGTCCCCTGATGGGCAAAGGATTATATCATCCAGGAAAGTGCTTGTGTGCATCTGTGTGAGTGTTGTGGAGAGAAGACAAATACAACACACACACACAAACACTGGCCAGCCAAGCCAGGAGCAGAGTGAAGAATGGGTCCTGTCAGGAGAAGAGGAGACAGGAGAGGGGAACGATAACGACAGACTTGGAGAGGAAGAGGAGGTGAAGAGAAACGATAGAAAGATTAGGGATACATGAAGGAAGTCTAATCGAAACGAGGGAAGGTGCAAGGGGGGCGACGAAGGGGGAGATGAGACGCGATGAAAGTGGAGAGGGAGAGCAGGGAGAGGCCGGCAGACAGGATGATGAACAGAGTGACGGGAAGAGTGAGAGAGGGGGAGAGAGAAAGGGATAGACAGATGAACCGAGGGGAGGAGAGTGAGAGGCAAACAGACATGAGCAATAGACATCTGCAGCCCCACAGGCAATACAAGGAGAGGCTCCACCTTGAATTAAGAAAGACTGTGTGTGAGTGTGCGTGTGTGTCTGTGTGTGTGTGTGTGTGTTAACAGGGTGGAGGTGAGTGAATACGTGCCTGCAATTGCAAAAGGGAAGTGGCAGGGTATGAGAAGAAGACAGTCCTTATACAAATACATAAACAACTTGTCCTTATATTGACAAGCTCGGGTTGTGACAGATGAAGCTGAGCGAGACAGACGAGGGGAGGAAAACAGGAGAGTGAACGCATGAGAAAAGCAAAGTAAAAGCACTGGAGAGTCAGAAAACTGTAGTTGTGGCTGAATGCAATCAGTGACAGTTAAAAGAAAACACATAACTAGACATTAGACTTATATAAAATATTGCTGCGATCAATGATGATTTTACTAGTTTCTGGTTTTCTTAGTGGTTCATGTAGATAATATTATGTTAGAATATTTTACTGTTGGCCAAAAAGACTTTTAAATGAATAGTGCGACATCCTGGGAAATATGGTAAGTCATTTTCTTTTAAAGAGTTAGATAAAAAATCTTTGAATCTTTGAATGAGGTGATTGATGCCTCACGTCTGTCCAGCAACATTCAAATGATGGGGGGAGCTCCCCTCTACAGCCTTTGAGATATCTCGGGGAAGCTCTGAAACATTGTCCTTTGTTTGTTACAGGTTACAGACATAGATTTCCTCTACACCACGGTTCCTGAAATAAATAATAAACATTTAAAAAATGCAATATGTGTTTTTGCTCGTTAAAGTCTCCACTAATTAACGCTATGCTGAGTCTATTTCTGTGGGAGTCATTAATGTGTGGCCGTGCCGCCCTCCAATTTAACCTTTAGTCGCCTTGAACTTTTCTTGACTACCGCTGTATCTCTATTTGTCATGTGTAGGACACAGACAGACAGACAGACAGACAGACAGACAGACAGACAGACAGACGCCTGCTTGCTTTTCATGGTTGTAAGACAGAAGGGTAATGATAGAAAAGTGACTGTACAGCCTCAACAGAAGGTTTTTTGCAATACCCTGCAATTCACCCCACAGCTGCACACTTCCACATGTGCATGTATGTGACATGTTTAGTATTGTCACTGAACAACAGGGGCTTCTCTGAAAGCCACGGTGTAATTTGAACACTGCAGCCAATAGCCGGTTAGCTAAGCACCAAGACTGGACATTACCTCAGGCCAAGGGTGATAAAATCCTCCTTAAATCACATCTGAAGTACACAAACATATTATAACTTGTTTAATCTTATGCATTTAATCTGTATAACCGAAGGGAAAAAAATGTTAAGGTTTTCAGAAGGCTATGAGAGAGCTAAATGTACTTTTTAGAGCCTTTAGGGAAACGAAAAAACTGCAAGAAAGTCAATAAACCTTAAACTCTTCCTTTAAAGATAATCATCATCATGGGCTTTTGAGACTTTTTATTTGTGACCATTTCTTGAGACCTTATAGAATTAACAATTGATCAGTTATGAATAAAACACTATAGAATAACTGATAAACTCAGCACCATAAATGAACTCACACACACACACGGGACGTTTACAATAATACATTATTAAAACTGCCTCTAGGGTCTCTTTATCCTTTTCTCTTGCTAAAACAAATATACCCTCCAGCACAAATATAAATGAGGTAGTGCTGATAACTTATCACTGTTACTTTCTGACAAAAGGTTTGTCAGCTTTGACGTCATACTATTCAAGTGATGTTACAACACTGTGGGCTGTGCAAGGGCACCTCTACGTGACCGGGAGGATGATGAGGAAGGAAAACGCCTGGCAGGTGTGAATCAGCAGAGTTGGTACATAATACATGACAACGCTTTGCAGAACATTTGTGTGAATGGGGGAAAAGATTTCCTGTTGCTGTCTGTCTCTGTCCAGCAGCTCACCACTGTATCAGCTGTTTTCTTTAAATGTTCAAGGTTCTTTCAACAAAATGATATTCTTTCACTTTTATCTCTCCTCAGTCTATGTATTCCTCCACTCACCCAGTGATTGATGGCAAAGATAAAGACTAACAACCCAATAAAATATGTAATATCAGGTTAAACACTATTCTTCAAATAGTTTCAGAAATCTTTGTTTATCTGTCTGTGGCGCAGATTTCCTGAGAATCGCAAATCTTATCAGCTCCACACTTTGGACAAATTCTCCACAGCTACTTCAAATTACAAGCAAACAGCAACGGTGTTGATCTGAACTCAAACTTTCTCAACAGACTCATCAGATCAGTATTAATGCTCAGAGAATCTCAAGAGACTCAGGATATTTTACACCTCTTCAATTTACAGAGCAGACATCCTGTTTAATTGTAAATCAGTCTATGGATTTAGGCAGATTAAGAGTTTGCACTGGGGGCTCGGCTGCACATCTGGAATAAATATTTAGCTGTAAAAACAGTTGAGGCCCCCGCCACAAAAAAAAGAGGAATGAGAATGAAAAAGCTTAATATGAACAATCACTTAAATGCAAATTGCTTTTATGCAAATGTTTAGAAGATTAAATGGTCCAATATTATAAGACTTATTTGTCTATGTTGGGATGCTTGCCAAAAACAGTGCAATAAATAGTTTTAATTTATTATACATCTGGTGTAAAGTTAAGTCGTCTAACAAGCACAATCCTTCACCCACAGTGTGTCAAAGACCTGCAGAGCTGAGGGAGGGAGGGAGGGTGTGTGTGTGTGTGTGTGTGTGTGTGTGTGTGTGTGTGTGTGTCGTAGATCATGATAAAGGAATGTACCTTGTTGCTGCCAGTACAGTGTGTGTGTCTATATCCTGACAAACACACCCCTCCTCCCTTATTGACAAACCAACGGTGTGAGAGACGCAGTCATTGTCAAGCTAACAGGATACAACAGAGAGAATAGCAGGAACCTTAGACACATTAAGCCAACATTGGCTTGTGCAGTGAAGCCTACTGAGTCTTAATTGAATTGATAGAGAGCATGGGGAGAGGGTAGGGGAGGTCGGGTGAGAGAAATTGATGAGGAAAACAGAGTGGAGGAATGAAAATTAGGGAGGGGGGACATGAAGGAAAATTCAGAGGGAAACAGAAAGACATAAAATATGAGAAAGAGAGAGGAGGAGCTGGTAGAGTAATGGAGAATCCAGAGGAGCATGTCTACAATGAGAGAGAGAAAAATAAGAAAGAGGGCAGGTTAATAAATATGTAAAGCAGCAACGGAGTAGGAGAGACAAGGTGAAAAAAGAGAAGTAAGGGAACAGCTGGATAAAGAAAGAGAATGCAAACAAGAGAACAGAATAATTACTGTGTGAGGGTGAACATGATGAAAGAGGAATTAATCCATTACTAAGCTGAGATGGTAAATAATGAAGGGAGAAAAACAAAAGAATTAATAAAAGATAATGAAAAACAAAAAAGCAGGCAAGAGGTGAATTTACGCCGAGAATGAAAGTGTTGATTGCAGAATTGGAAATAGAGCTCCCTCTTCATGCCAACAATTAATGTGCCCTTCGGAAAGATCAACACCAAACAAGTTCATTGCAGCTCGACATTCACATGACGATTCAAATAACACGAGTCAGTGTTGGTGGGGAATAAAGCTGTTCTGCTGAAAAAAGTTCAGGTAAAACTACCTGGTTTGTTGACAGGGGAAAAAGAAATTTGCCCAACGCAGAAAACTGGATATTGTTTCCCAGGGTGAAATTGGCTTGTTAAGGAAATGACAAAACACACTTTCTCTTACACTGAGAGAAGGCCGTGGAAGGTCAAATTGACTGCGAGACTGACAGTGAATCCAGACGGCACAGAACGCTGGATGCTCCAAACCTAATCAGGGATTGTTTGCTTCAGTCATGCAAGAAAGAGGGACAAGCTTGGCAGACATAAGCTGTGCGAGCGGTGCCAATGTAGAAACCAGATTCATGCCAAGTTACGCTTATTTTTTTCTGCACATCATTTTTCACAACTTGTCTCGGACGTAACATAATGAAAGTGAAGCATCATTGCAGTTTGATTTGCTTGACTTTAATTATCCCACCCTTGTTTCAATCTGTTCCATAGGCTTAGTATCAGGGGCGTTGCAAGAGGGTAGGCAAAGCAGCGAATTGCCTGAGGCCCTAAGCTGAGAGGGGGTTCCCAGAGAACAGCTGATTTTTCAACAGCTACAACAAAAAGAACCTTTTTATTCTTTGGTAAATCAATGATAATTACCTCTATTTATATCAAAGTGCAAAATATCTTGTAGTACAGTTCTTTCCCCATTCACACTCAAATCCATATTGTACACTAAGTACAGATTTTTGATGTGTAACATTTTCTTGACAAAATAGAATATGGGCAGCCCACCATATTCTCAGTATACACAGTATAGATAATTAATGGAAAACACTGGGTTTGGTTGGTTTATAATGTTGTGTCATGCAGTTCGGTTGCCTTTTGCCCGGGGCCACCAAAGTCCCTTGGAACTCTGCTGCTTATTGTAGTATAGTATTTTAAGAAATGTGCTTCTCTTAAATCAAAGAGCTTTAATGTATTTTCATCTGCCGAGTAGAATTAGGATTTTCTGGCATCAATGGGTGTCGAATAGTCTCATTTGTACTTACAGCCTGTGGAGCTGGTAAAACAGCGACACTCATGATAAAGTGGCCTCTGTGATGTTTGATCATGTCTTACCTTAATTAGGTCCCCCAGTAGTTTGTTGGCTTCAGTGTAGGCCTTCTTCACCTCCTTGAATTTATTCCCCAGTCCCATACTATGAGCCTGCAACAGCACAGAGAAACGAGAAGCAGTGAGAACGAGCAGAGTAAAAAATTATCTTTTTCTATTAAGGGAAAGATTTAAGGAAAAATTCAAGACATTCTGCGTAATTTGTTGTCGATCTGTTATTTAAAGCTATAATTGAGCTAATTTAACATCAAAATAAGTTATATAAGCAGCATTTTTTATTTGTAGTATCAAGTATCTTTGAATAAAACCATGATATTCCAATGTTTTATTTTTTCAGTAATAGATTATTCCCAGAATATTCTATTTAAAAATTAGGCTGTTCACCTCAAGCTGTCAATGATACTAAAACAAGTACGCTATCACTTTATAGGTGTATTTAGTTGAATCCCTTAACTGTGGATATGAATGTAATCCTGTGTGAACAGCCTCAGATTCTCCATCTACCTCCACTACTCCATCATAATTTGGTAAAACTGTAGCGAGGAGCTTCGTGAAATGCATTTCAATTCTTATTTATCTTCAAAATCAGTCACTGACAAAGACTCCGTGGGAATCGCTCACTCTACCTGAAAGTGAAGGTTGGTGTACTGTCCACCTGGGATCTCATTCTCGTAGACGTCAGCATTGCCTGACTTCATGGTGGCAGTGCAGTCGAACGGAGCATACAGGCCTCTGGCTACTTCCCAGTACTCACTGTAGTCAAACACTTTCTCCAGAGCGATGCCTGCGTCAGAGCAGAGCACAATCACATCAGATCAATCTTCTCCATACACCTTCATTTTAATGAGACACAGTCATTTGAAACCAAGTTTTCTATTCACCTCATGGGGAGATGGGACATAGGGAGTTTGTTAATTAAGTGAAAGGCTAATTAAAGTTCCTTATTATTGAATTGAATTGTGTTTATTAGAATTTTGTGCCGTTTTGACCAACACAAATGTGTGTGTTAAACATTGACTAACCGCAAAGCTGAACTTTGCAACTTCTACACAATCACACCCACTTTGGTAATTTGTCTTCAGCTTTTATTTTGAAAAGTAGTCGACTTGGGTCTGAAGATTTTCTCCATTACTTCATGAGACCTCTAAAATAGGCGACATGTAACGTATGAGAAAGACACCTTACATATAACCTAAAATAATATATAAACCTCACACATCAGTAACAAAGCAAATTAATTTGAATTATGAAAAACATTTACTTTAAAAGGTTCATTGCAGATAAGCCAGGTGGGATGAACATAAAGTTTTCTAACCTCACTCTGTACCATAAACTGTTTATAAAAAGCTCTGCACACAACATCACACACAAACAATAAAAAGTGACAGCATATTGTTGAACTGTCTGAGTAGGACAGATGGAAAGGAATCATTCTGAGGTAGCTCTAAAGCATTTACACAGGACAAGAGAACAGTCCATTCTAAGGTTTAGAATGGGGACTGCACCAGTTATGATCATTTTTGTCCTCCCTACTGAAAAGAGGGTACTTACTATAAATATATATATACCTTCAAATTATCTGAATCAGTCATCTCAAAAGTGTTGCCAGCGAGCACACCGCAACAGCACTGGGCTTATGCTGTTGAGTTTGAGGTGTGAAAATATATACATGATGTGAAACATGTCACACTTTTGACAGTGCCGAGTTTATTAATCACACAGTGCTTCATGTCTGCCAGAACAGGTCCAACCCATCAGGGAGGTATGGATTTGTCTCCAACCCCAGAACAGTATGCTGCGATTTACTTTAAAGATTTACTATACCAGTGTCCTCTTTTTAAAAAAAGTCAGCAAACTTAAATGTCAGCAGAGACATTTCTACTGTATATAATCTACCAGGTGCTCACTTTTGGACAACTCTTGAAAACTGCATTAAGTCAAGTAATCTTTGGAACTTAAAATAGTTTAAAGGGCAGAAACGCTGGAACCAACCCAAGCTACAGAGCAGGTAAGTGAAGTATTTGCCTTTAAGTGAGGTTGAATCCACTATGCATTTTCATCTTGCCCTAGCCAACCATTAAATTCCTGTGATATTTCGTGATCCTAAAGAAAACCAAAAAGTTGCCACTCATATTCATGATGTTCTCCTGCAGCCAGGTTAACTGAGTTAAAGCTGATTAACTTGAGATATAAAAACTGCTTTAATAGCATGAAAGACATTGTAGTACTCTAAGCTTTTGGTTAATAATGAGGAAAATGTTAATGAGACAAGCAGCTTTAAACAACGACAACAACCAAGTGACAAGCCTGAATTTCCTGATTCAAAGCGAGTATGTACACTCCACAAAGTGTATGTGTGCTTCAAATAAACTTGGCAGGGAAATAGAGATACTGTGAAATTTAATGTGAAATTAATGTGCATGTTGTTGCTCTTCAAATTCAGACACCTGCCAAGCTAGTCAGTATTTAGGTCAATTTCCTTCTCTGCTGGAGGACGCCATTTGTTAAGCTTCTATTGTGAAATTACAGCCTTCATTTACAAGAGGAAGTGACAGCGCGTTGGATGTGACAGCTGGCTCTGTTGATTCAAATGTCGGCTTAGGTCAAATTTCTCCCACCTCCAGATGAACACCTCATACGACACGTCATGTACTCACGGCTTTCAGTCCGTGGACAAAGAAGATAACTGAAACTTCGTCAAATGATGTGTGATGGAAGTAAGTGTGGGCTCAGCTGAGAGCATAAGGATGAAGATGGATTTTTAAAAAACTGGCGTAAGATAAATACTCTTGTAAAAGAACATGATGTAGTTCTCTGACAGTCATTTTTCACATCTGTTGTCTACAACAGCCCAGACTCTGGTGTTTATCTTAAGGTAAAGTTAATGGATCATCAAAGTTACTATTATTCAACATTAGGGGGACATTTGTACTAAGTTACACGTCAATCCACAGAATCACTGTTGATGTTTCAGTCTGGATCAAAGTGAAGAACCCAGTGAAACGTACAATATGTGACTTCAGCCACTAGGTCTCAATCAAAACAACACAAGATCCAGTTTGATGACGCTCGCAAAGCTGCGTGGAATCATGGGAGACCTATTGGTGGAGAAGCAAGTAAAAGAAAAACCACCATCCTACTGCTTCCTCAGGAGAAGCCTGTTGAGTCCAACCCAGCACTAGATGAGCTTGAAGGTGTGAAAGCCAAAGCACTTCAGCTGGCCCTAATAAAGCGAGCACACAGATATTGTGTTGAATTGACTCAGTCTGTGTGACGACCTTACTTGTCTATTTTTACACTGTAGCCTTTAAATATGAAGAACAGCTACAGATGTTGATTCGAATGGTTGAAAAACCATACTGGAAATAAATACATTACTTATGGGCTGCTGATCCTACTTCCCAAAAGCCATCAATGATTACACACCACTTAACCATTTGTACTTATACTTAAGACATACAGGCATACAAGCACTTGCATATGCAAGGATCAGTCAATTAGATGGCAGCTTGGCAGTGATAAAGTGCCATCAATACACAACTCATTAGCAGGGCACACTCACTAATGCAGTAAACAAACAGACAGAGAAACACATTTACACTCACACAGTTGTATACCTCCCCAGCACCAAAACAGATCTGAACAAAGACAGTCGCACACACAGTTTGTGTCTGATGAGATGATGAGGGCTAAGCAAGACGCGCAGATGAAGACAGATGAGACACGAGAACACTCGGGGAGAAAGAAGGGAGAATTAAACTCAGACAGATGGAGACAGGGAGATGAACATGGAGCTAAATATGTGTGCACCTGCCTCTGTCTGGAGGCTGGGAGTGAGTCTGTTTACCCACTTGTACCTGCATGAGTACTTACAAACAGTAATAGTACTAATAATAATACTTATGCTGTGTATGGTGCATTTCTGCTACTTAACTGTGGCAGCTGATACTTCCTCTTCAATTAATTCCACACTTGATACATGGGAAAAGGCTTTACTGTGTCAAATAAACCCTAAGAGCACTTTAATGTGTCTCATCACTCAACTGCACACGTGTTTGTGAATATGCATGACTTTTTTAAATAACAAGATGCATATGTGTGTGTGTGTGCGCACAGTGTGGCTGAATGAATTAATACACTGACAAGACCGCTTAAAGACGGATGAATTAACCAGCAAAGCTCTGCTTTTGCCTTTTCTCCAGGACACAGAGATTCTAGAGAGGCTGAGGGAGTGGAAGAGAAAAAGCAAAGATGAAGGGAGTTTAAGGGAGCGAGAAAGGTTAAAAAGTTGTTTTATCACCGAGTGAGAATGAGGAACATGGAACATGCGACAAAATTAAACAGGCTTACTGTCTCCGGTGGTTGGTAATGAGCACAGAAACAGGTACTTTTAAAAAAGAAACCAGGGAGGATTTAGCACAGGTGAGACACATTAGGACAGGGTGCAGACAATGACAGGAAGTAAAGCTGGAGAGACACACAAGGAACAGTGTTTCAGAATAAAACAGGACACAGAGAACTCAAGATTACAAACAATAAAACACAAATCCAGAAACAAGGAAAACAAGGTAAGTGTCCATAGCATAAAAAAAAGTTCTTGCAAAAGAAAGTCTTAAAAGTTGAAAGTTTACAAGATTTCAGAATAATTACAGAAAAGAGGATGAGGATGGAGAGATAAAGTGGAAGAGGTGAAGGTGACAGGAAAAGAATAGGAGCACAGACAGGGAGGAAGGTAGAGGACATGGACCACATGGCGCAGTATTAACTGAAGCTCTGTAGCAGAGATGGGAGGAAGAATGGGAGTGAAGCATTTAACAGACTAAGGTCATGAAGTGTCCAAGGTGCTCTGCTTGATTACTAAAGTCGTGGGATGGGTAAACGGAGATGTGAGGCAGAGATGAAAAGAAGAGACCAGTACAAGGTGAGAGGTATAAAAGAAAGTGGAAGTGAGGAGGAGTTTGTCTGCATGTGTATGCATAATGCATGTATCAGGGTCACATCAGGATAGAATATAAGCGTGCACGTGTGTATGTGCACGTGTGTATGTGCATGTGTGCGTGCATGTGTGCGTGCATGTGTGTGTGCATGTGTGTGTATGTGTGTGTGGCAGACATCCTGCATCCTGCTCTCAGTCTCAAGCGAAGCAAATTGAAATTCCACGAATAAACTGACACACTTGAAAACCCCTCGATCTTGAGAAATGACCTTGTCTTCCCCCCCTCTCCTTTCTCCTGCGTACTGTATGCTCACAAATTGATATTCTGTGACTAAACTGGATTGTGTCTAAATGATGGGAGAGCTCCTCTCCCTCTGACACTTTGATGCGGTGATTTTTCATGTTTCCTTCATTGCCCCGAACAGAATTTGCCAGCTCTAGAGAATGGACATGAACCTGTTGCATTCAGCTGTCGGTTAGGTGCGTATAGAAGGAGAGAGCAGCAGGACAAAGCACAAGTCACAGATCCTACTCACAACACAGCGCATCTTAATGGTTCTGTGGTGGTTATGAACCATTACAGAAATTGCTTTTTCTATGACAGATTTCTTCCTGTGCGATTATTTACTTTTGTTGCAGAAAGAAAGCGTCTTATTTGGCAGCACTAACACCAGGACCTGGTGTTTAATGTAATTACCTGCTTCACAACTTTACTGCAGCTGAACAGGAAAGTGTAGTGTGACATTATGATGGCTGTTACATTTAATTTTTATAAATCAACTTAACACCAGCTGAGAAATATTGTTTTTGCTGAGAGATGGTTTCACTTCTCAACTTGCTGAAGTGCACATCACGGTGTGTTGCTACCTTCTGACCACACCTCGAACCTTGAATTAATTTACTATTCAAACACTTAAAATGTTTTAAGGTTGAGTAAAATATTCTTCAATTAAAAACATCTGCATTTAACTTCCATGCAGTAACAATCTGTTTTTAATCTTAATAGTATCATGTTCTACAGCAGCAGTGTGAATAGTGTAAACATAATTAACATTGGTTTCGTGGTTCTGTAATGGAAATGAGCAATCAGATCTAGTTAGTGGAGCAGAGTCAGTTTTCCCAGTAGCATTACTCTGCATAACTAATCAGCAAACTCTGCATCAGTTTGAATTCTTCTCACCCGAATCGTGTTCTTTCAGTTTTATCCACAGCCTCACAACTGGCTGCTTTAATATATTTTCCGCTGCACCCTTCGTTGTGGGAGGCAGAGGTCACCGAGCGCAGACAGTTATCAGAGGAAGGAGGCGCTCCAGCTTTTTCATTTCCCATGAAAACAACATTGAGCAGAACATAGCGGACAACAAAAAACCCAAAGGAGAAAGCAGTCATTATAAATCCATTCTTCCACTTATTGTGTGACTGCCTGAGAAGATGGAATAAAGCAGTGGTGGTCCACAGTGAAGAGAGGGAGGGTTGTGAGAGAGACATCACTCATATAACCACACACAATGCAGGCGGGGAAACAAATGAGCAAGCAACAACCATTTCAACGTTGCCTTGGGAGAAGCTTTTAACCCCTAATTGCTCCAGGGAGAGCAGCTCATTGGTCAAAGTAGAAAACCATGGCTATACGAGCGTCAGGGCTCAGTTTTTTTACATGGTGACATATTCTCCATATCCATTATCTATTCTGCTTATCCTGTGAGGGCCGTGGGGGGATTGGCTAGAGGCAATCACAGCTGTCCTATATTGAACAGGTCACCAGTGTATCAAAGGGCTGACACATAGAGACAAACAACAATTCACATCTACAGGCACCGAGTGGAAGTTGGTGTAGCTGGGGAAACAAACACAAGGAGAACATGCAAACTAGATGGCAAGACCCAGAACCTTCTTGCTGTGAGGAGACCACTAAATTGTTTTACATACAAGCAGATGTCAATGTGAGTTTGAAATATTCTACTCCTTTCACTCAGAGCTGTTCTTCTTTTCATGGATCAAGACTGTTGTGTTTAACAGTGCTGCAGTTTTTAGTGACACATCGGGCTCTCCTGTGTTTTCCATCTTCCTCTCATAATTGGCTGTGCACGTAATCACTAAGCTGGATGTGTTGATCATTCTGACTTGGGGCCATAATTAGTGAGACGCTCTGTCATTCATTGATTTGTTGATGGATTTGTCTCCCCTCATGTAAAAACTGGTCAACTAAGAGAGGCTCCGATTTGATAATATCTACAGTGCAATCAAAAAGTACCTCTTGATTTTTTTTCACATATGTTGCTGCCTTATGCTGAAATCATCATTTCAGTAATTCTTTCTATTATCAATCTTCTCTCCAAGATAACACCGCGAAAACACAATTTTAGACATTTTCGCACATTAATTGAAAAGGAAAACCTGAAACCTGGGCCCACATCGCCTACTTCACACGTCCATCATGTCTTATCAGACAGAATTGTTGCAGGTAACACGCTCTAGTGTCACCAATATGGTCAGCCACTGGTACTTGTCCCAGCATGCCCGTTGGTCATTCTAGGCAAGTGGGTGTAGCATGTGCTTGGTGCTCTGGTGGTAAGAGTGAATATCAATCTAGATACAGTCTATGATATTTATAGGTAATAAAAAGATATGACTGAATGTTGAATGCTAAGGTTCTCATTCTATTTGCTTCTATTTCTTTTCTTCTTGAGCTGCAGTCCTGCTTCTTTCCAACCTGTGTTTATGATTGATTTTACTCAATTAAAACAATGGAAAAAAACAGTGAGTTGTGTTTAAATGCTGACTTACCAGTGTCAAGCTCAGTCCCCTTGGCACAGGCCACTATGGCTCCCATGCTGGGCTGAGAAGTCATACCAGCCATAGAGTCCACCTAGAGAGACACGATCAGATTTATTAACAGCCCTCATCACTGTAAAATTGCATTACACCTTTATCAGTGAATTTTACTTACATGGTAAATGTAACTAGTCTGAAAATCTCTATGCACATTTCTAAAAATATTATATATTTATAATACGTGTGTCTATTTCCAGATAAATGAATCAAAATACAGATGAATTTTATCTCCAGAAAGTCCTAAGTCTTGGTTTCCTTCCCTGCCGTGACAAGTGTAAGTAAGTCGCATAATGTTATTAGTTACTGTGCATGAATGTTTTATTAGTTGGCAGGGAAAAGACAGAGTTTAACTACTTAAACCAGAGAGTCAATACAAGCAAAAGTTCTTAGTGGGTGTGTCTGATCCACAGTGGACTGTCAGTTGTTTTTTTCATACGGTGTTACAAGGAACCCAACAGCAGAACGGCATATAACTGCAAATAGCAGCCAACAGTTTTAATGAAACTGGCCATGCTGGCAGCACGCGTCAGTGATCACAGCAAGAAGAATGTTACTGGCTTTTACAGTTCTTTGTTTCAGTGACATTTCACAATGCAAAGTGCAGAAGCTGGTAGATAATTAATGTTCATGTGGTTTGAGAAACATTTCAGTGGACCTCGGGGCTCCAAAAAACATTTAAGTTGAATTGTGGTTGATATTTCTTTGTCTTCACAAAGACCTGATGTAATTGTTTTACTAAAATTATTGGAAATTCTCACTCTCCATTATTTTCTTATGTAGAAATCTGAACATTTGATTGTTTTATGGTAACATAAGGATTTAAAACATTTAATACATTTTTAGCAAATGATGATGATGCACCAAAAGCAACCAAAGCAACCTTGACCTTTACCAAAGCGAGGACTCTCATAAACATGAATACTCACAGCCACATCAACTATGTCAGCTCCCGCCTCGGCACAGGCCAGCATGGCTGCTACAGCGGCTCCAGCTGTGTCGTGTGAGTGCACATGGATGGGCACATCTGGGAAACGCTCTCTCAGAGCACGAACCAGGAGCTTGCTGGACTCTGGCTTCAGCAGGCCAGCCATATCCTGCAGAGACAGGAAGAGAGAGGGTGACACATGAGGAGAGAGGGGTAAAATGCTTGAAGGAAAAATTAATAAATCTGTTTAACACAACCTATGAAAGAAATATTTGCTGGTGAAATTTTTCATGTAGTTTCTCTTTTACATTAATTTAAATTCACATGTACGTCTAAAAAAATCTTGGGTCTATATTACAGCACACAAATTTATTTTAAAAAATCTAGATGTGTTTTTGCTGCACATCTTAATATTGGATGTGGAGTCTTGAAGTCAAACAAGATTAATTTAAACTACCTGTCTTATTGCTCATTAGTGCGAGAACGTGCACACAACACTGGCCTGAGGCTGCTCATGAAAGTTGGAGCACACCATGAATATAATGTGATTATTTGTTGGATTCAAACGAATAACCAGACAAAACAATTGAAGCAGAAAGATCCTGTTCACAAATAAGTGATCACGATCAGGAAAGAGGGGATATTGATGACATAAATTCATAAATTGCTAATAAATTATATTAAAAATCTCTGTCTTTTAATCAATTCCTCTAAATTTAAAATTGGCCCAAATAAACCATGTGAGAGAGCAAGTTTAAATTTATCTGGTTCCAAAAACTCCTTTTACAACTCCTTTTTTTATTCTTACCACTATAGTAGATGTGAAGAAAATGATTAAATAAAAAAAAGAGCGACTGAAGTTTAGGGCGTCACAGTCTTGCAATGATAATTATAATCTATAAATCTTAACTGATATTAACAGAAGCTCCCAGAGAGCTTAGATGTTTAGCTGCGCTCCCTTTGATGATCACTGCACCCCTTCAAGTTATAGTGCACGCTCATTTTCTTCTTTTAAAACTTCATTAGCTGTGCAAGCCTTTTATGAGATTGCCACTGCTGGGTGTTATAGTTCACACTGCGAAAGAGTTTATCATTTCACGTTTGAAAATATTCTTTCATGCTTGGATAAAGAAATTAATTCAATGTGAGCGGTATCAGTCTATTCATTTAGATGAGCAAATACAAATTATTTCAATAGGAGCAAAAAACAGTTAACATGAGTGTTTTCTAATAATCAAAAATGCATGTATGTGTTTTGAATATTTTACGTCACTACGATAAATTTGTGAAGTTGGTTGTTGTTAAACTCAACTAACTTATGCTGTGTTCAGACATGTACTGAACTTTGGATAATCCCCTTTCATTCTCCACAGAGGTTGTATGTGAGAACGCAAATGTCCGAGGGAGAAGCGATGGACTTCCTCCTCAGCTTCTCCTGCCAGCCCATAAGTAAAAACTACAGAATGTGCCAATGAGCTCAGCTGAGGGCACAGGAGATCCTCAGGAAGGTTCACCGAGCGAGTGGGTGTGTTGATAACGGTCCTAATACACGACAGATCAAAAACTGAAACAAAAACAGAATGATACAGATATCTCAGAATGATAAAGTGGTGCAGCAAACATAAGAGAAGCTGCACCGCTTTAAGTTGTCGAGGAAGATTTGACTTCCTGTATGAAGAAGGCATTGACTGGCCCTCTCGTTACCCTGACCGAAATCCAATTGAGGACCTATGGGATGTTATGCATTATGTACCCGATGCCACCAAGTACCGCCACAGACTGAGCAGTAGCTCACTGATGCCCTGACCCAGGTCTGGGAGGAGATCCCCCAGGACACCATCTGCTGACTCATCAGGAGCCTGCCCAGACGCTGTCGGGAGTGCATACAGGCACGAAGTGGCCGTACACACACTGAGTCACATTATGAGTTGCCGTGATGAAATTCACACAAGATGGGTCAGTCTGTGAATTCAATTTTTTACTTTGATTTTCTGTGTGGTTTCTAATCCATCCCTCAATTTGTTAATGATTTTGGTTATAATTGACACACACACACACACTCACACACACACACACACACAAATTGTTTTGTGTAAACAGACAAAGAAGTAACTGTAAACACTCTTTTCCACTCAGAGGCAAACAATGAGAGTCTTTAGATTAACACAGGGCTTATTGTCTAGAACTCTTAGTAGTAGTAAACAGCTCTCAAAGCAAAACACTCCAAGCTTTTATTTCCCCACCTTGATACACAGGATGTGGGTTCCAGCTTTGACGAGCTCATCTGCCAGTTTCACATAGTAGTCCAGGGAGTACTTCTGCCTCATTGGGTCAGACACGTCGCCCGTGTACGAGATGGCAGCCTCCACGACGCCGCCTGCTGATCCTGCAGCCTCCATCCCCAGCAGCATGTTGGGCAGGTAGTTCAGGGAGTCAAAAACACGGAAGATGTCCATACCGTTCTCCTTGGCCACCTCGCAGAACCTGGAGGAGACCCAACAACATAGAGTTAAATGACATTAAAACTGTACACAAATCCAAGGCTGCGTTGCCAGAGTATTACATTTATGAGTTTGTCTTCATGAACAGTGCATCCCAGATAATAGCGCTGGGTTGGTATAAGCTGTTTACATCCATCTCCATATCAACACTCATAAATATTGCTGCACCTGCACTAATACAATTTTCTCACTATTTCCATGAAAAGTGAGCTTACACAGCCTGCAGGAGCGCACAATAACTCAGGAGGAGCGCTTACCCGTCTCATTATCCAAACTGCTAGTGGTAAATCCTTCCCCTCTCCCCCTGTATCTTAATCAGGTTTGTCATAACTGGGGTGAGTGCCGCGTTTGTGTGAATGCAATATTTAGACACAATGAGAGCTTTGGTGTTGGTAAATAAACAGACGTACTTAATGTTGTTCCACAAGAGGATTACCAGTCCAACGTCTGCATGTCCAGTATCTATTTAGAGCTACAATGCATACAAGTCACGTGGACGTTGTCTGGCAGTGAATCAAACACACTTTACTGTCCCACATATCCAACTCGGAGCTGAAGTGATCACTATTCATGTGATTCAGAATGTTTCTGTCAAAAACTTTGCTTCCCTCAAGAAGATCTAGTTAGGAAATCATGTGACCCTTTCCTCCAGGCATTTTAGATGTTTTCAATCTTTTGTTGCTCAGCTTACAGTAGTGTGACCCTGTGAAATGCACTTTAAGTCAATGAAACAAAATGAAATTACACTTTGATTTGATTTACTTAATAAAGACAATGAGGCCACTTTGCTGTGGGCTACTGGGCTGGAAATGTCGAGGGCGAGAGAGTGACAGAGTGAAGGGAGGATGGAGGGAGAGAGCTGAGCCAACACATCAGAGCCATTCATCACAATCGTGCAAATTTTCAATGGCACTCCCCCTATGGGACAGAGAGGGAGAGTGGGAGAGGGAGATGAAGAGCATTGGATATAGAAAGGAGTTAAAAAGAGGGGAAAGAAGTGTGTGATGTAGAGAGATGAATGGAGGCGGGAAACAGGGAGTTATAAAAGTAGAGATAAATAATGACTATATGATGGGAGAGGGGGGAGGACAGGATGATAACAAAAAAAGGTCTGTGTGTACGTGTGTGTCAATGGCAATGAGGGAGGAGTGGACAGCTGCATTAGTCATGAAGCCAGTAGTAATTTCTTTGAGGTGAGGGGAATTACATAGGGAGGGTGTGTGTGTGTGTGTGTGTGTGTGTGTGT